CCACTGGAGTGTGAGAAAGTTTGCTGGGTTGCCTGTGCCAGAACTGGGTTTAGAATCATCCGATCAACAGGAAACGATCACCTGGGACACAGGCCAGCCAGGGCTGGTGAGCAGGTTTCTGAGGAAGCTGGGATGTTTCCGCAGGTGCAAAGCCAAGAGCAGACACTGTCCACCTTTGAAAGACCTCAGGAACAACCCTGTAGGGGCAGGGGAGTCAGACTGGTGGGTGGTCGTGCTTAAAAGAATGTGTGTGGGGACAAGGGGAGGGAGGGAGGGAGAGACAGCTACAGCATGGGGCCAGGAGCATGTGGTGTCCCTCTCAAGACTGCAGCAAGGTGATCAAGCCTGCTTGGCTGAGGCCACAAGGCAGGGGAAGGACTGTGCCTTCTGGGTGTGCCTCTGGAGGATGAATTTGGAACTGGAAAGCAATAAAATATTAACTGTCTCAGTCGACGCCTTTGACTACACAGCTTTCATATGCACCATTCTACAAACATTTCAATGCCTGCAAAACAAAGAAAGGTATTTTATTCTAGTGAGAAACAGCTAGCCTTCTGATAAGTTCTTGCCCTTCCCCCAGAGAAGGCACAAAGCCCCAACAGTCACTGAATCCATCGCTGGCTATATTAATGACTCTTCAAATTCAGCATTGGTCCCACTGAATATTTTGTTAACTAAAGTCTACATTGTAAAGTTGAATCCCACCGACTTTTATATTAAATAGAAATGTGAAAAAGAAGAAAAGGGTTAGAATATATAAGTAAACATATGCATGTAACAAAATATGCAAACCGACAACAGTCCTGTTTCCATAATTCTTCATGAGCTCATAGTTGATATCTGTAGCTTTCACCTTCACCCACCCATTCCCTATTTTCCTTGCCCACAGCCAGAACCCACAGCTCTGGATTCTTTACCTAGTAGAGTGATCCAATCTTTCCTTTCCAAAAGGTCTGAATCTTCAGTTGGCCTGCCCTTTTCTGGTTCCTGTAGCTTTCCATTACTCTTTACTGTTGGCACGGAAGTACTGAGAGGAACCTTAGATAGTCTCCTGGGTTCCAGATAGAGTCCTCCTTGATTCCATCATAACAGCAACCAATTTCCTTTGGTAATTGGGATCGTTACACCAATAGGTTAGCTTCCTGTTTTCCATCTGTTTGTTCAGTGGTGTGAAAAGTGCAAGAAGATCAGGTGGCATTCTGTGATGGGCAGAATTCTAACATGGACCCCTCTGTGAATCCTGCCCTCCGGTGGAAGCACCTGGCATAATTTTCTTTTGAGCTTTGTAGGAACCTGTAAATACAATTGGATATCACCTCCATGATTATGTAACAATGTGGCAAAAGGAATTTTGCAGGTGTAATTAGGGTCTCTAGTCAGTTGACTACAACCTAAGGAGATTATCCTGGGTGGGTCCAACCTACCTAATCAGGCAAGTCTTTTAAAAGCAAAAGTTCTATTCTCCAGAGATAGACAATACAAGTCTCAGTAAGTGGAAGATGGAAATCATGTTGGGCTGCACCCTGCAGGCTTGCAAGCCTCATAATTGCCCAGCTTCAGGATGGAGGACAGCCTGGAGACGGCCACAGAGACATCAAGAATTTATTGAACAGGGTATCTTACACACCTGAAGCAAGGTCCTGGAGCAACACCCACTGCGTGTGGCAAACAGCAGGCAGGACATGGCAGTGGTCTTTGCTACTCAGGAGAGAAGGAGGCTACCATTTATAGGGAGAATTGACATCAGGTTGGCTCATCAGTTACCAGGGAAACCAGTGGCTGGGCCAGGGGGCAAGCACTGCAGGCAGTTACTAATTAAGCCCTATAATTAAGAGGACTGGGTAGTCATGTGAGTGAAGCAGGGACTGGCTGAGTAGAGAGAGCATGAGAACGGCCATCTTGAATGGCCTAGTCTTACACTCCACCCCTACATACCCTGCGCGACCCTTCTAGTCTTGGCCCACCCCTCTTCCGTGAAATCTCTGAGGACGGTGCGTGGAGACATTCTACAATCAAATACCAAATGCAAGGGTCCAAGAAGTGGGCAAACTTTGGAGCCAGGTTCTTATTGAGTAAATTTTTCATGGGTGACAATGGCATTTTGCTGTAGACTCTGCAATCAAGCTCATTTCGCAGTGAGGCCACTGTTGGTGCTTAGTCCGAGAACAGATTCCCTTCGCTCAGACTAGGGATGAAGTCTAAGATATTTAACAGGCACAATACCAGCAAGATCAGGACCATCCAGCAACAAGCAGTAACAGCATTCTGAGATAATACCACCCCCACCTGTGGGTTTTGTCCTGGCCTGCAACACCATGACACCTGTCCATCCTCAGTCCCCATAGCCGGTGCCAAATACGGGAGAAGAGGTATAACAGCCCGCAGGATTAATACAATGCTGCCTTTCTCCAGCAGCGGGCCTGGATTAGTAACAGTCTTAAGTGGGGCTGGGTAGAAGACAGGTGAAATCTCTAGGTCCCTTTCTAATCCTGTATCCCACACGGCAGCAAACCCAAACCACCGAGGGCTTACCTGCCAGGCCCAGGGCTGTTTATAATATGTTCCTCAGGGGGTAGATCCTATGACAAGGGCAAAGATGACTTAGTGTCCTGACCAGTAGTTGGCAATGGTCCTTCGGTGGTCAGCAGTTGAACTCAGAGGGTGTTGAGTAGCTGCCTCTGAGTTAACATGGTGTCGGCACTGGGGCGACTGCTCCTGGGATGCGTCCACGTGTTGAGAGCACGAGCTTTCCATCTCAATTGTGAAGGGGTCCACTCCTAGCCCGGCAGCAGTGGGGCTGTAAGGCAGGTGAAGGGCCAGCGTATGTCATTTTTGATTGGTTCATTCCTGAACTTCGTGACTGATAAAGTAGACTCCTTGGTCACCTTTGATGTCTATGGGGGAGGGGGTCTTTATATTGCACACAGCTGTTTTAGACCCCAGTAGTGGTTTTCTGCTTTGCTCGACAATTCGGGCAGGCCTTCTGTGATGTCCCTCACCATGTTGTAATGCATTGTAGACTGCTTAGAGCTGTTTCATCACACTGCATTGTTGCTTTCCCCCTTCCATAGCTGGGACCAGAAGCCCAAGGGTACTCATTATTTTGTTGTTGCCACGGGCCCCAACCAAAACCTTCTGGGTAACTGGCCACGTCCAATTCTCCAGCCTGTCCCTGAGTTAGGACCCCTAAAGCCTGTGTCTGTAATTGTTCAGGGTGGTGGTGGCCCTGGGGTATGCTTGTATTTTGCAGATAATCCAGGTCCTTGCATTTTGTCTGTATTCACCAGCCATCCTCATGCAATCAGATGAACCAGGAGCACAGGGCTGCTACTTTTAAGCTGGAAAGACACTGAAGTTAACAGGGTAACATAATGGAAGAAAAAGACACCTTTCATGGTAGACAGCTGCCTCATGGCCCCCCAAATGCTAATGGACGAGCACCTCAGGATCACCCCCACAACCTTCTGTCCCCCCTCATTTCCCCACATCTCTGCGCTCCCGGGGGTCTCCTCAGCCTTGGGCTGGCTCACAGTTATTGGGCTACATCCCGCATGCCTGCAAGCCTTGTAGGTGCCCAGCCTCAAGACCGAAGAAGGAGCCCAGAGAGGCCAAAGTTTTATTGGACAGGGGATGTTGCACAGCTGAAGCAAGGTCCTGGAGCAATACCCACCATGCGCAGCAGCCAACAGGCAGACACGGCAACAGTCTTTGCTGAGCGGGGAGGAGGCTACTATTTATAGGGGGAATTGCCGTTAGATTGGCTCATCAATTACCAGGGAAACCAGCAGCTGGGCCAGGGGCAAGTACGTAGGTAGTTACTAATTAAGCCCTATGATTAAGAGGATTGGGTACATGTGAGTGAAGCACGTACTGGTTGAGCAGGGGATGTACATTGAGCAGAACAGCCATCTTGAATGGCCTAACCAAAAATTCTATCAAGCATCTTTTCTGACCACAATGCTATGAGACTAGAAATCAAGGGAAAAACTGCCAAAACTACACACCTGGAAGCTAAACCATGTGCTACAAAATAACCAATGGGTCATTGAAGAAATCAAAGTGGAAATAAGAAAATACCTGGAGACAAGTGAAAATGAACACACAGCAATCCCAAATCTGTATGGGAATTTCCCATATCTAATGAATCCCAAATCTAATGAATTTTGCTTTAATATTATTATGAATTCATGCATTTAAACATATCTGATGTTTCAAACCATTCCAATTATTATCTTTATTGATGCTTAAACTGTAAAACCTTTGCCAGTGGGAACCAATTCAAGCTGGCTCTTGGATCCTGTTGAGTTGTCTTTCATAGCTGCCAAGATGTTCCAGGGTCATAGCGTACATTTCCTGCCCCAGAGCTGAAATCACCCATTTCTTCAAGAAGCCTTAGTTCCTTTTAGTAGCAAAGGATATACAGACATCACAATCTGGGCATTAATAAATTGGTCACTGTTTCTAGGTCTTTTCAGTAAACAAAGCTAGGGGAGTCTGTTGTTACTGCTTTGTAGCTTGATGTAAGATAACGTAATTTATGAGTTCATACTGACACTTCAAGCCCAGGATTTACTTATCAGTCTTAAACCTGTGCTTTCTTCATCATGAATTCTTTCTAATCACCTCAGCCAGAAGTGACAGGTCTTTCCTTGAATTACACCCTCCCTTCAATGATCTTTTTTTGCAATCAACATATTAATCTTTGATTTATGCTATTTCTGTGTATACTTATCCTCCCTACCGAATGGTAAACAATTTGAGGCCAGTGTTCACGTCTTTTTAACTCTTTGTTAAATAAAGATACAATTTCTAAAGTGCTAGTGTATTTCCTGACATAGAAACACCTTTTCTCTTTGAATCCCTCAAGATACGGAACAGTACTATATGTGTACTAAATTTAAAATATGATTATGAAATAAATACAAAATCAGGTTTATGCTCAACTTTTCAGATATAAAGGACCAGAAACTCTCATTTCAGAGGCAATTATGTTAAAGATATTAAAGTTGTTTGAAATTAGTTTTATTTCACAGATATAAAACAATTCTGAACATTTACAACTTGTACAACGTCTGGTAGCTTTCGTATTTTAAAAAGTGCTATATGCTACGAGAATAGGAAAAAAAAAAATGAAGACCACAATGACATTCCAAATTATAAGTTCAGGGGATGGGAATATGAAGAAAGTATTCTAATCAACTACAAAATCCTGAAACCATTCTTGATTGAAGGAAAATGAATAATACTGGATCTATAAACAGTGTGAAATCACACGTTGGTCTGTAAACACGTTTCATTTGTTTTTTCATTCAGATGTACACCTACAAACTATATAAGGTGTCACTAAAATGAACCAGTTGAAGGTATGATAAAAAAGAGGTAGGGAATAAAAATGAAAGAATTTATTTTGGTAGTTCTTCGATAATGATGCGAGACACTGAATTCCACCCAGTAGAGGCATCTCCTTTCGGGTAATCTGAACACGTTCCAACCCAGATAGCAACATCCACTAGCCCAGCACCAATTCCTTCACAAAGTCCTTCCACTGCAAAACAAAGGTGAAAGTTACATCTCTCTTTAGAACAAAAAGCAAAAAACTTCAGCTCAAATGTATTACTTTAGCAAGCTAGATGAAATTTATTTAATGTACAGTGAATTTAAAATTCTACTACTTAATAAGAGACTCATAAGTTCTCTTCTTCTTAGCACACAAATAGTTTTAAAAGATGTACACACATCCATTCTATGATATAAGCTTCACAGGCAATTTTCTTAGAGGCTTCAACCATAAAGCCAGAATTGGTTTACTTACAAAGATGACCTAAAACAAAAAAAGCAATTTATTTGACTAAACAAAGGAAGACTACACTTTTAAAAGCCAAGACATTGATGTGATATTTAAGTCTTTTTTTTAAAGAAGACACTTTCCAACACTTACCTGTATACTTGATGGTATTCAAGTAGAAGAAAAGACTTTCATAATATTAAATAGTAATTCTAGCATAATCATTATACCAGTCCTTCAATCTGGGCATCTTATTTTACACAGAATTTCCTCACAGTGAAAAAACAAAAAACTAACTAAATCGTTTTTCCGTTGTGTTTTTATGCTTCATAACTACATGCCTTTTCACAGGTCCTGGACTTTCACATACTAATACATACAACTTGCATTCTGTCTTATCAAGGCTCTTCTCCAATATTAAAAAAAATTCCCCTGGTGTTCATTTTAACAGGCAAAAGGTATGACCCCGTTGGCATCTGTATCAGGGTGAAAAGGAACCTCAGATTGGCAGATTCTTTAAGAAAATGGGTCTGGTTAGTTTTCCTATCTGGTTGAGGTGAGTGCATTCCAGCTGAGCCCAGGGGTGTAAGCCTGAAGCAATCTGCTTCCACCAGCTGTGACATCAGTGAATGGAAGGCACGTCCCTCCAAATCCAGGGACCAGTCTCTGGTTCAGACTCCTTCCAAAGTTGGGAGAACTAAGCAGTGTGTGCCCACAATATCATTTCATCTAGAACTCTTAATACAACACTAGGTGAGAATGCCTGAAAACCCTCGTGTTCCTCCAAGGTCTTGACATCCATGGCCTAGAAATTTGGTCACTTCATCCCACAGGAGGTTGGACAAGCTTGTGTCTAGCATCAGCCTCACAAGGGGAGAGTCAACGGTCACCTCACAGCCTTTAACAGATGAAATAATGTTTTTTGAATGAATGAATGAAAATTTTTGCAGGTATAGGGTAGTCTTGCAGCTTATTCATCACCTAAAATATGTTGGATTAGGGGTTCTCAACCTGTTTTCCTCCTAGACCCAGGTAACAAGATGACATTCAAATGTCTGTCAAACTCCCATGGGCACAGCCAAGGCTTAAATTCATCCTCTGATGGCCAATAGGCACACAAAAAGATGCTCAACGTCACTGATTATGCAAATCAAAACTACTACAACAAGGTATCACCTCACACCAGTCAGAATGGCCATCATCAAAAAGTCTACAAATGACAAATGCTGGAGAGGCTGTGGAGAAAAGGGAACCTTCCCACACTGTCAGTGGGAATGTAAATTGGTGCAAAGAGAAGGGGTTAAAATATCTTCTTTATGTCTTGAGGGTATTGTGGGGATTTGAGGAAGAAAATGGACAGGATGTCCTTGATTCCTTAGGGGTAAATGTACTATATTAATTTCTGGGATCAGTTTCTGACTTAGATCTCTAAGAATGCTGAAATACTTCTGGTTAGCAGTGAGGGAATCTCTTTCTTCTGCCATTTTTAAGTACAAGATTAATGAGAAATTGCTTCGAGAAATCAGGGAAATGAAGCTAGTGATACATACACCTTTGATTCTCCTGGCACACGCTGTCACGGGTGCCACCCACAGCAACTCAAGAAAGCAAAGTGGCTGGGAGTCAGATGTTGACAGCAGTGTCTGGGTAATGGCAGTAATAGGTACTTTCCCCTCCTGCTACTTTTTGGTAGTTTCTAAACTTTCTAAATGAACCTTAAACTATAACAAAACAAACAATAGTTTGGGTTTTGTTTTTTTTTTAAACAGCTTAAGTGACCATTGGTTTAACTGAATGTCTGTTTTCTCAGACTAGGTAGAAGCAAACAGAGAATGCAGGAACAATATAGAAATGTTCTCTTTTACAAATGCAGCAGACTGTATCTACCTTTTTAAAGAACAAGACAGAGAAATCAGCCTCCTTGTCAATCTAAACTAGTGGTTCTCAACCTTGGCTGAACATTAGAATAACCAGAAGAGACACTGGAAGTCCCACTGCCTAGGGTGCAAGCAGACGCATTAAGTCACAGCCCATGGAGGAGTGGTACTCAGACATGGGGATTTTTTTTTTTAAAGTTCCCCAGTTGGACACGAGGTATAGCCGAGATTGGAAACCACTGTTCAGTGGCATTATTAGCTATTCTGCCATTTCATCTAACTCTGATTTTCAACCTTGAGATTAAAAAAAAAAAAATACAGCCCTTAACCAGAGATTCTGATTCAGTTGGTCAGAGTTGAGACCCAGGCATCCATATATTTTTAAAAAAGGTCTATAGGAAATTCTAAAGTGCAACCCAGAGGGAGAATTATGCACAGAAAACTTGCTACGACCCAAAATTACAGTGGACTCGAAACTCATCTTTAGTTTCTAAAGATGAGGCACATTCTGCAATGTCACTCTTCTACGTACCAGAGGAAGTGCGATGAATGTTAATTGTTGAATTCATTTCAGGGCTTCCTTGGTCCAAATAAATTATGGCTTCAATAGGAAGAGGTCCTGAACATTCAGCTCCATTGAACGTGAAATACCAACGCTGACAGCACGCACTTCTGCATTTTAACCGGAGTGAGCCACTGAACAAAACTCTTAGGGCACTGTTCGAACGCATCTTTGTGAATGTACACTCCTATCACAAACACAGAAGCAGGGCTTAATTAGCATTTTCAATTTTAATTAAAAAGGTGCTTTCAAATTGTAATGTGAATTTTATTTAACTATCCTTTTCCCCAAACTGTATTAAAAAACTTAGCTTTTACAGAGGGAAAGCGATTCTCTGCAAGATGGATAAGAGGCTCTGATATTAGAAACTCTTAAGAAAACGGAATTATGGCTTTCTTAGAATTATTCACCTCTTGAGGGTAACTTTCAGTTTTACCCAAAACAGCCAGTCTTCAGTATTTTAGACCAAACCAATCTATATATATATATATTTTTTAATTCCAAAAATATTTCCCATGTGCTGAATGCTATAGATACAGCAGTAGACAAAACAGAATCCCTGCCCTCATGGAACTTAAAATCTAGACTAGCACTACCTAGATAGATTACTCTGACTCGTGTCTTTTTGTTTTGTATGTTTAAGTTTTTTTAATTTAATTTATTTTGGGGGGGTAATTAGATTTCTTTATTTTAATGGAGGTACTGGGAACCTCACACATGCTAGGCATGCCCTCTCCCCCTGCTCTGATTTGTATCTTTTGAAGCAAAAGCAAACAGTATCCGGAATAAAGCGTAGATGGGGTTTTTAGTCGTTACCTATGTGACACAATGCTAAGACTCAGCCTTTTTTTTCCCCTCTAATTGGTCTTTGCAAAGTTTGCCTGTCTTTTGGCTCATGGTCCACTATCTTTTACCTGCAGAAAGCTCCCAAACCCATTCTGACCGCTACTAAGAGGAACCTGAAAACATATTAATAATTCAGAGTCCACAGGGAAAGTTTGTAGAACTCAGCAACTTTTGATGAACTATAAATAAGCAGCCAGTCTGTTAATGTCAGGTGTTTAAAGGAGGCAACATTTTAACAGAATTCTAAGAAATCACATATCAAAAAAAAAAAAAGGGAATCACATATCAAAATAAAACTGGTCACAGTCACCAAACTATGGAGCCTATATGGAAATTCTATCACATAGAAATCAAATCAAGACTGTCACAAACATTTTTGTAGATAATAGAACCGACATTAAGAGCTGAGATGAGGAATAGGGATAACACACAGATTGCTACTTAGAACCTTAAGTTTTATGAAAATAAAACATCTATTTGCCTGGTGGTCGTCGTGGTTAATATTAAGGAATGATACACTGTGGAAATGGAACCATATATACAGCTGGTCAACAAAAGAAGAAAGAGGCTTAGAAATAGCACCAACTTCAACTCTCAGCCATCCCGATGGACTTGCCAGTTACTCTGGAACCAAATCAAAGTGACTGAATCACCAATCCAAATGCATTGCCAGACAGACTATTTTGAATGATTCTTCTCCCTAAAAACTGCAATAATTTTAAATGGTCACTGTAGTATATTTCTGGTCCGTTCTATTTCTCTTAAGCTTAGCAATTTCAAGCTGCGCCCGCTACTCAGAATAAGGACAAATACCGGTGGAATTCCCACTTCTAGATAATTTCTATCCTATCGTGTGGTCGTTTCTTGGAGATTTCTTTCCACTTTTATGTCTGGAGCCACAACAGAATTTCTTAGACTAATTTAAATTTAAACTCACTTTAGGACAATATTGGAAAGTTGCTTACTGTCTAACACACATACCTATGCTTGCTCTTCTTGTTTGCATTTGACTATTTTAAATACTACTAGGGTTAAAATGGTGTTTTATTTGTCTAAGAAATAACTTTACAAAATTAATTCTGAAACATCACCAATTTTTTTTATTCATTCTAAGTTAAAAGCCACATGGTACCCATCACTTAATTTTGTTAAGTCTTCCAGTAAAAATAAAATAAAACGTCACCTAAAATTAACACTTATCCCCTCAACCCTTAAAGTTTGCCTCAACTTTAAAATAATTTGAACTTTACTTACCGCAATTTTTCCAAGATCTATGCCATAATTCAGTGAACTCCATGAGCACTGCTTGTAGTTAGGCGTCCAGGACTCCTCAAAGATTTCCCTCAGGCATTCCCCCTTTTCTCCTTTGAATCCATCCCGACCTGGGATTCCAGGGGTACCAGGAATGCCGTTGGCCCCAGGGCTTCCATCTCGCCCAGGCACCCCCGCAGGCCCTTGTAAGCACATCCCATTATACTGCAGAGGGAAAAAGAAAGGGGGAAAAACTCTCACCACTTAAGATTCACAGACTCAGCCTGATTAGAAATACATTTATTTTCAGTCCTTGGATTCAAGAATCCCTACAGACCACTTGCCCATGTTCTAGATGAGTTATTATAGAGAACTGATTTCAAAGTTATTTCTAAAATATTTCTTTCCTATACTTTTTATACACTTTACACACATATACACATACATACACACTCATCAAAGACATAATGTTTTCTAACCTTTAAATGTCCATTAACAGATGATTGGAAAGATGTGCATATGTATATATAATGGAATACTACTCAGCCATAAAAAGAATGAAATAATGCCATTTGCAGCAACATGGATGGACCTAGAGATAATCATATTAAGTGAAGTAAGTTAGAAAGAGAAAGACAAATACCATATGGTATCACTTATGTGTGGAATCTAAAAAAATGACACAAACTTATTTACAAAACAGAAATTTACTCACAGACATAGCAAACAATCTTATGGTTATGGGGGAAAGGTGGGGGAGGGATAAATTGAGAGTTTAGGATTTGCAGATGCTAATGACTATATGTAGGATAGATAAACAACAAATTTATACTGTACAGCATAGGGAACTATATTCAATACCTTATAATAATCTATAATGAAAAACAATATAAAAAGGAATATATATGTGTGTAACTGAATCACTATGCTGTACACCAAAGACTAACACAACATTATAAATCAACTGTACTTGAATTAAAAAATTTTTTTCATTTGCCTGCTTTCTTCTACTGTTCACTAAAAGCATATATAATTTTTAAATGGCTGTATTCCAAGGTGGACATAATTTGATATATGGCTTTTTTCTTCTAACCCTAGATGTTGTAAAGGACGTGGATTTCAGCATCGTACTTTCACAGTATTATGCAAACATTGCACTACTTGGGGATTGTTAATTCTATTTTTTTCTACTGTGAATATTATTATAATGAAAATCTTTATCCATATAGCTTTTTTCTTCTTTTGAATAATTTCCCTAAGATAAATCCCTAGAGATATAACTATAAAATAAAACCTTAACAGTCAACAGTGGTCCTACACTGGCAATATCTCTAGGTCGGATACACACATCTGCTTCTCCTCCCCATTTTTATGTGGAGGAAGTGTCATTAGGATAACACTTCTAGTTTCCAACCCGACCCATCTGTCCTGGCCAAGGAGAAGGAGAAAATGACCTCATTGCAGGTGACCATTAGTCTTCAACAGGGTGGCAATAACCTATCAAACCCTTAAGTGCTAGGATTCTCTCTGTTTTTCTTGGAGGGGTGGGGTGCACAGCACAGTTCCCATAACAAAGAATTATCTAGACCCAAATGCCAATAGTGCCATGGCTGAGAATTTTTATTCACCTCTTTATCTAAAAACTGCTATTCACATAATCTTAGTGAATTTGGTCCCAGAGGTATTACATCTGTCTTCTTCCACTTTAAAATGCTAACTCAGCGCATGATTAGTGCCAGGTGGAGGTTTCATAAACGTCTGCGAAATGAACCCCTGTTTCTTCCACTGGCCACCAGGGGGCAGAGCTTGCTGTGCGCTTGAAAGGATGGCTTTGAAAGATTCTGTACAAAGAAGTTGCTTTATAGAATCTGTTGAAACCTTTAATGACTGAGTGGATTCTTTTCCCCCAGCAAAACCAAATCCAATCTACAGGATGCACCTGAGCCTGGCTGCACAATAAACTTTTCCAAGTCGGGCTAGAGTTGTGGGAAACCACAGGTACTGTAAATCCTTGGAGGGAAAGGAAAAAGATTGGTGGCTTTATAGGGCAAAGGGGTATTTTGTGTAACATAACTACAGATTTATAAAATGCAGACTGCACATCAACCACATTCATTTGGTACAGTTTTAAACAATTTAGACACTCAAAATAGAACTGTAGCCCTGAACACATAGTCTGCTATGTGGAATGAAATTACATAGCACATCACCAAAAAGTACAGTGTAAAACTGCAGGAATTTTTTTCCAGAGTTTTTGAATCTGGCTTAGAACTAGCTGCCAGGGAGCTTAATTTATCAGCTCAGTTTACAAGAGAAGCTTAACAAACATGAAACAATTTTTTTAATCAAAAAATATCCCCTCCCCATGTCCTGCAATGCCTGTAACCCCTATTTGTCTACAAATAAGATTGGCTTAAGGATTGAAGTTTATTATATGCCAAGGAATTCAGTAGTTTTGAAAGGATCACTCTTGCCACAGAGCAGAGAACTGCTCTGTCCTCCACTGAGTTTGTTGACTTTTAGAAGGAAAGAGCTTTAAGCAAACAGACTTCCCATAGATTAACCCCTCAGAAAGTACTTGGGCTATTTATTTGCTCTCTTGGAAACTGTCTTCTCCCTTAGTTTGGCTGTGATGTTCCTACCTGGTGACCACAGACTGAAGACTCGGGGTGTCCAGAAGGACTGACTGCCCATCTGTCTAAATAGAACAATGAAATGGGTCCTTGGTGGGTTAGTGCTGGCTCCCTTCATTTCCTCTTCTGGTTCTAAACCCTCTGAACCGCTCCTGGCCCGGCTGTGGTCGTCCAGCAAAGTAAATTGCAGCCCATGCTCCCTAGGAAGATGACCCAACATGACTCACAGTCTTCAAGTTACAGAGTTGGACGGATGCTGGGTGGGAGTTGTTATTCGCTCTTGCTGGCAGACGTGGCCACCAGCCCCAACAAAGGACACGTTGCGCGTCCCTGGCCCAGGCCCACAGGGGATCAGCGAGTCCAGGGTCTCCCAGGCAGCTCCCAGGCTCAAGTTCTAGCCTAAGCTCCTCATTCCACTC